CCCAGGGGGGATGGCCATGCCGCAATCCCTTCTCCTCCATTCTCCTCTCGGGATCTTGGGCACGCACGCACACGCGCCCGGCGTGAGTTTAAGCCACCGAGTCCGGGACTCGAACCGCCGTCGACTACGTGGGAGTCCAGCGACATAGCCATTACGCTAACTGCTGGTCCCACCGTCAGTTTTTTTTTTTAAATCAGAGTAAGTACATAGTTTTATTCTGTTTTTCCATGAACTTTTTCAAGTCCCTTTATATTGTACATACTATGTATCTATTCATTCCCATTCTTTTTTCCAAGTTACGTTTTTTTCCTAAACAATTCTTTTGTTTCGCTTTATTTATTTATTTATTTTAATTTGACCAGATAGGGACAGAGTGAGAGAAATAGAGAAAAGTGAGAAAGCAAGCCACCAGATCTGGGACTCGAACTGCAGCTGGACTCGGCCATGTGAGAGTCAGCACTCTTAACTACCACACCACCTGCCAGCTTCCTTTTTTCTCTTAATACTGTTTTTGAGATCTCTTCATACTGATATTCTATGTCATTCTTTTTTTTGAGAGAGACATTTTTTGCTATAGGTCGCATTCTTACCTCAGAGACAGAGACAGAGAGTCAGAAAGTTGGAGACAGATAGTGAGAAATCAAAACCAAGGAGGGGATGACCATGCCACAATCTCTTCTCTTTCATTCTTCTCTTGGGATCTCGGGCATACATGCACATGCTTCCAGTGTATTTTAAGCCACTGGGTCCAGGACTTGTGCGGTGGTCAACTCTGTGGGAGTCCAGCAATGTAACCATTACACCATTTGCTGGTGCCTAACTCATTCATTTTTATCTATGATGCAGTGGTCCATGTTTTATTATTCACTTTCTTATAAGATATATGGGTTGTTTTAAAAGAATATTTTGGGGACTAACAGTTGGCGTAAGGGCTATGTCATTGGACTCCCATGTAGTTGACCGCTGTCCAAGTCCCAGACTTGGTGGCTTAAACTCATGCCAGGTGTGTGTGTGTACATGCCCAAGATCCTGAGAGAAGAATGGAGGAGAAGGGTTTGCATCCCCCCTGGGAGATGATTTCTTGCTTTCTGTCTGTCTCGCTCTTTCTGGCTAGCGCACACACCCTATAGCAAAAAAAACCTCTCCAAAAATAAATAAATAAATAAAAGAATATTTTGTTATTTGCAGTCATTGCTTTTTTGTGTACCTGTGACAAACATGTTTTCCAAATTATGTTCTAATTATTGAACCAATTTATGGTCTTAATAGTGAGAATTCTTGTCCATCTATATTCTCATGATAAATGATATTTTCAGACCTAAAACACTTGTGTCAATTTGGTGGTTGGAAAACTGGGCTCCTGCTTTGTTAATCCACCATCCACTCATTACTGGTGTGATTGAGTATATATTTAATGACCATTTGGGTATCATCAGCTGAACTGCTTGACTGGTTTATACTTTGCCCATTTGAAGAAGTTCATTATTCTAGATACTAACATTTGTCTATTATATATGTTGTAGACGTCGTCTTCTAGTCTGTTACTTACCTTTAACCCTGTTTGTGGTATTTTTTTATTACGGAAAAATTTTTATGCTTTTTTTTCCCTTGATCATTCTGACTTGTGTATGAAGAATCAGCTTTGTATTTCATATTTTTAAATAGGAATGAAGGAGGTAGACTTACAGCTAGCATCTGGAACATACAATATAAGAGTACTTTTAAAAGACTACCAGTATCATGTGTGTTGAAACAAAAATTATGGAGTATCACAGTTAGTTACTAAAGAATTAGGTATCTTTAAACTTATTAGTGTTGTAAAAATTTTTTCACTAACTATTCAGAGTTTATAATTTTTGAAGGATTTTTTTTTAATTATTATTTTTAAAATTTGCTGTAAGGCACTTGCACTCACTAGAGAGAGACAGAAAGCAAGCCATCAGGTCTGGGACTTGAACTATAGCCGGCCGTGTGGGAATATAGTGCCTTTAACTACTGTGCCACCTGCTGGACCAAGGGTTCATGATTTTTGATGATGCTAGATTACATTTTTCTATGAATCAGAATACACAGTTTTATAATTTTCCTTTTGGTAAATATGAAGGGAGTTCAAAAAAGTCTTGGAAAAATGGAGTTAAAATACCTGTTTATTTTGGTATGAAAAAAAACTTAAATCCATCCATAATTTTTTCATAATACTTGTTTTCTGTGAACTTTTTGAATACTACGTATAAATTTTTTAAATTATAGGACTAATCTTTAGTGGTTATGTGGCATAGTCTCCACTATTTTCCCCTGGAGTAACATGTTCTATAATGATAATTGATGAGTATTCATTTGTGACATGTGAAAAAATATTGTAGATACATTTTCAGGAACAATTTGTACATACTTCAAATTAGATTAGTTTTCACTATCATGTTATACTTAACAGTAATGTTTTTGTTTGTAGTTAAGTTTACTAAGTTCTTACAGATTATTATGTTTTACTTCTTGTTATTAATACTGTTCAGAATATAAAGATTAAATTCAGAAATGGAAATTTAGAGCAATTTATTATGTTTTATGAAGATAAATAATTTGGGCTGTCCCAAGTGGTCTGGCAGCTAGGGGAGCTGGATCCCTCATTGCTGAATGTGCAATGTGAATCTCGGCCCCAACATTTTCAAAAGTCCAGCATGTGTAGGTGTAGGTGCATGCCCCAAATCCTGACAGGGTAGAGAAATGGGAGAAGGGATTACAATGTGCCCATGCCACATAAGGTATACTTTCTCCCTTTCCCCCTCTCTTTATCTCTGGCAAGGGCACATGCCCTCTGGCAAATTAAAAAAAAAAAAAGATAATTCATATTGTAACTGAAAGTATGGGATGAGTCACATTTTCAGATATGATTACCAGATTCTCAGTTGGAATATTTATTCTTTCGGCTCTTACTAAACCGTGTCAGAAAGTGGAATTTTGAAATGTAGTTAAATCTACTAACATTCGCTGAATTCTTACTATGCTAGATAGTGTATAGTTTTCATCGGAGTGTTGGATGTTGGGCCCACAGTGAAAGAAAAGAATAGCTTTGTCTTTGTGGGAGTTGAGATAAAAGAAGAGTTTAGTTCTGTTAATGTTTCAATCAGAAACATCAAAAAATTGCCTTTGGAAAATGTGTAAGCATAAATTTTTTCTAGATATTTGATCATTTATTTTTACATTATTTTAGGTTTCTAATAATTATCTGCAGGAATCGCCATGACCCCAGCTCTACGGGAGACAACAGCAAAGGGTATCTGCTTTTCACCTTTGCAAAGTACCATGGAGTCTGACAAGATGCTGTACGTGGAAAACCCAAGAACTGTAGATGAAAAGCTAACGGAAGACACTTTTTCTCAGATGCTGGGATTTCCAGCTCCTGAACCTACATTTAATACTAATTTTGTGAATTTAAAACATTTTGGTTCCTCTCAGTCTTCAAAACATTATCAAACAGTATTTTTAATGAGTTCTAACTCTACATTAAATAAGTACAATGAGAATTACAAACAAAAGAAATTAGGGGAGCCCAGTTGCAATAAGCTGAAAAACATTCTGTGTAATGGTGGCAACATTCAGCTCAGTAAAATCTGTCATTCTCAATCTGAAGAGTTGATCAGAAAGGAACCTCTGTCAGATACCACAAGCCAGTGCATGAAAGATATACAGCTTATTTTGGATTCAAATACCATCAAAGACACTAATGTAGATAAGGTGCAACTGGAAAACTGTAAATGGTACCAAAAAAATTCACTTTTGGATAAAGTTACTGGTGCTGAGATTAAAAAGGGTTTATTGCACTGTGCTCAAAAGAAAATTGGACCTGGCTATTCAAATGTGCCTAGTAGTTCCTCAGCTGCCGAAAAAGAGGAGGAAGTAAATGCTCGTTTACTTCACTGTGTAAGCAAACAGAAAATTTTACTTAGCCAGGCTAAGAGAACTCAGAAACATTTGCAGATGCTCCTGGCAAAGCATGTTGTTAAACACTATGGTCAGCAAATGAAATTTTCTGTAAAACATCAACTCCCTCAAAGGAAGCTGCTTCATGAACCTACCCCAATTGAGGATAACAGTTTACATAAATGCATTGAAATTAAGCCAGAAGCCACCATATTGACTGCAGAAAATAAATTGGATGATACCAAAAATGGCTTTGCACAGTGTACAGCTGCAGAAATTCGAAGATTTGCACTGTCTGCTACGGGTCTGTTGTCTCATGTTGAAGAGGGTCTGGATTCTGATGCAACTGATAGCAGCTCTGATGACGATTTGGATGAATATACCATTAGAAAAAATGTGACAGTGTAAGTGCAAAATTATTATTAGACTTTTTTCTGTTCTGTATATAGCAACAATTGCCTTGTTTTCAAGTTATGTTAAAAGAAAACAAATTTTATAAAATTTTAATGCTCTAATTTTTAAGTTCTAAATTTGGTAACCTTTTATAAAGTTTCATCTGTTAAACTCTTATGTGTAAACGTATACATAATATTTAAGAACAAATTATCCAAAGGTTCTATTTAGGAAAAACCCATATAAGAATAATAAAACTAATTAGCTATATGTAAGCTTTTTTGTTGTTGTTGTTCTTGGGTAAAATAGGTTATGGATAAGGCCTAAATCTTTGTTGTTTGTGATCTCGCTAATATGTTTAGCTAAAACTCAAAAATGTTAAATCTGCACATAGAGAGCCTTCATTAGCTTTGGGAGTTTATTGGTTGAAAGTACATATAAGCTGATCTGCTACTTTTATTTTTCAAAAAAAACTTTTATATACTCATTGTATTCATAGCTTCCAGTTCTGGCCTTTACCAACTCAGTCTGTTGGGTCGTTGGAAAAGTCATGACATCGTTTTGCATAGAAAAATATTCATGACTTTTTCAACAGCCCAATATTTTTGAAAGGTTAGTTTACTTACTAAAACAAAACTACAGTGTCATTTATAAGATACCTTTTGAGGGTTTATTATGTGCTAGACACTAGAGGTTCAGTTGTGGGCAAAATATTTATAACCTCTTTTCTCTTGGGTATTTACTTGAGAGAAAAATATTTAGATTTTTTTTTTTTAAGCAGAGGAAACTAATTTTAATGATCATACCATAATAACACTCCAGAACAGCTCTGTCCAATGAAAGTTTCTGAGGTGATGGAAATGTTCTTTTTCTATGATATCTAGTAGGCACTAATCTCATGCCATTTTTGAGAACTTGAAATATGTCCAGTGATCTCAAATTTTAAATTTTATATCATTTGATTCAATCTTCATTTATATAACCAGATAGAGCATAATTTTTAATGTAGCTTTCAAGGAATTTGTTAATCTTTTAATGTCCCCAAATTAATGAGAATTACTGTTTGTATAAGTGGCATTTTGGTAGGAGGAATTCTGTGGCTCTTTTAGAATCTCAAAAATGAGTAAGAATCACTGTGGGGTTAGGAGCCAAACATTAATTCTTACTAATAAATAGAAGATAGGTATATTACTTTTTTTTAGTGAGGAATAAAATGTAAAGCTGAGTGAGCATTCCATTCTTTTGGTGTTCTGATATTACTGTGATTAAAATTAGTTTGAATGTGGGAGCTATAAGAGTTATTGAGCACATATTTTTCTGGCTATCATTGTGCTAGTACTTTTAATGTATGTCATTTAATTCTTGAGCAATCTGGGAGATAGTTATTATTATCCTTATTTTACTTAAGAAGAAACAGACTCAGCATGGTTAAATAACTTGCCTATGGTCAAAAAGTCAAATAAGGCCCAGTAGCATAATGAACTGCAGTACTAGAAGCCATTTTGGATACTTGGCCTGATTAATCTGAAATGGTGTGTGTACCCAAGATCCTGTTAGTAGAGGGCTGAAGGAAGGGGATTGCAACATAACCAGACTCTATTGAAAATGCTTCTTCTCTCCCACTCTTCCTTGTCAAAACAGGTAGATAGATAGATAGATAGATAGATAGATAGATAGATAGATAGATAGATAGCCAGCCAGCGAGCTAAATAAGTGATGGAGCCAGAATTTTGTCTGTTCTTATTCTCTTCTACCACGGCACTTTCTCAATTCTTGTATAGCTATGAGAATTGTTAGGTGCATGTGTTCTGAAGGAAGTCCCTGAAAATACCAATTTTTATAATTACAGTATTTTTGAAGTAATCCAATTTAATACAATTTACTAGGTAAGTCTAGTGACTTAAGTATTTTGTTTGTTGTTGAGAGGAGTTGATGGACAGATTTGTCTCTTTAAACTAGAAACAGAAATAAGAAAACTGTCTTCTCAGACTATTTTGTCTATGAAGGTATTTTTATTAGTATTTACTTTCATAGATTTCCTGTAACACTTAGTCTGCTATATTCTTTATCATTAAATTATGTTTTGTCCTACATGGTTTACTTTTATATATTAGTTTTAATAACCCAACCGCTACTTTTTCTTTTTTTTTTTTTTTTTTGGAGAGGTCTTTGCTATAGGGCGTGTGTGCTTGCCAGACAGACAGACAGAGACAGAAAGTTAGAAATCACCCCCCAGGGGGAATGGCCACACCGCAATCCCTTCTCCTCCATTCTCCTCTCGGGATCCTGGGTACGCACGCACACGTGCCTAGCGTGAGCTAACATAGCCATTATGCCAACTGTTGTGCCTGACCCAACCACTATTAAAGGTAGAAATTACATTTTGTTAATCTTCTATATACTGAGCATATAGTTTGGTCTAAATATTTTGTCTTGATATTTGTATTTACACCTGTAGTTTTATTTGGGTATGCACTAGGTTATTTAGAAGTCTATGGGTGATTATAACTAGTTTTTCTTGAAATTCCTATATAATATGTATCATTTAAAAGCTCATATACTTTCTATTTTAAAATGAACCATTATCATAAGAGAAACAGAGGGACAGTTACGTCCTTTATAACGAAAGTGAGAGTAAAACCCTTTGGAGTAGTTATGTAAGCTGTAATTTTATTTTTCAGAAGAAATGATCACCTTTTTTCCCTGTTGATAGCTATAATAAAAAGAGAACAGCTCAAGAGAGTAATATTAGCAGGATGGTGGAGGTGGAGATACCAGTCTTCATGACCCCCCCAACACACACACAAAAAGAAATTAAAAAAACAAAAAACAAAAACACAAGAAACAGATGGGAACCAACAATTAGCGTAATGGCTATGTCGCTGGGCTCCCACGTAGTCGACCGCGGTTTGTGTCCCGGACCCGGTGGCTTAAAACTCACGCCGGGGGCATGTGAGTGCGTGCCCAGGATCCCGAGAGGAGAATGGAGGAGAAGGGATGGCGGCGTGACCATCCCCTCTGGGGGGTGATATCTCGCTTTCTGTGTCTCTGTCCCTCTCTGTCTGGCAAGTGCACGTGCCCTACAGTGAAAACCTCTCCAAAAAAAAAAAGAAACAGACATCCATCCATGAATGAAAACAGCCTTGAATGGGCTTAAGGGTGCAAATAAGAATTAGCAGCAACACAAAGGGGAAAAACAAAAAGAAAAAAAAAAACGAGAATAACTGCATAGAAAGGACATCTTGGGAGATTAGCATACCTGAAACATCTGGAAATGACTGGAAGCAAAGAGCAGGGACTGTCAGTATCATACATTATTGATAGGCAAAAAAAAAAAAAATTCTTTTTTCAAAGAGAGATTTTTGCTATAGGGCACATGCACTCAACAGAGACACGCAGAGAGACAGAGAGACAGAAAGCAAAAAATCACCTCTTAGGGGAGATGGCCATGCTGCTGTTTCTTCTTGTGATCCTGGGTATGCACACAGACCTGGCGTGAGTTTGAAGACACCTGGTCCAGGATTCAGACTGCAGTTAGCCATGTGGGAATCCAGTGATGTAAACATTATGCCATCTGCTAGTCACCCCATTTCTTTTCTTGACAACTCTTGTCAGTTTATTAAGGAAAACTGAAGTAAAATTGCCTGGGAGAAAAAAGTTTCTGGATTGGAAAATGTATTTCTTATGCTACTCTTTTTCCTCCCATAATCAGCCCAAAGGACTTCAGGGATTCTATTGATAGATACACATTTTAGGAAAATAATGAATTTAAGAGGTTTAATATCAGTTCTTTATGATGTGCTTCTAGCTTCTTGAATTATCTACCTTGTAGTATTAAAATGCCTTTTTATTAAAGCCCATGATCAATATGAGGGGTCTTTCAAAAGTTATTGGAAAATATATATTATGAAAAACTTATACATAGATTTGAAAATTTTTTGTACAAACTAAACTAATAATTTAATTTCATTTTTCCCTGACCTTTTTCAAGTCACCTTATATTTCTAGAGTTAAATAAACCTTGTCCTAAGGTCTATCATGTCTATATAAATCAATAAAACAGATTACAAAAATCTTGGGGAATTTAAAAAAATTTCTTTAATCTATGGAATTAAGTGACAGCTGCTTAGATTTATTTAGTTTTTAATTTATTTATGCTACTTGAAATCTTAAAATTTCTTTATTACATACACCTTTCCATATATTAGATATTAAATTTTATTTTGAATATTTTAATAACATTTATAAGTTCCTTGTGAAAAAGATTGCTCAATTTTTAAATTTTGAATTTGATCTTTTTATTTCTTTACCATTTTTCTTGAAGTTGACTGAATTTTGAGAATGAAAACAACTAATTATTTGTATGTTTTGGTATGAGTAAAAAATAAAAATGGTTTCTGCTTTTTAAAGTGAGAATTTATCAGTTCTGTTTCAGGTTGTTAGATTCAATTTTAAATTTAAGACATTTATCTTCATAAGCTTTTTTTTTTTTTTTTTTTTTTAGTTTCTTTTCTACAGCTTTAGAGAACTCATTTTCAAATGCAGATGAATACTTTTAATGTATAAAATTCAGAATTAAACCTTAAATATAAAATACTAGATAAAAGATAAATTTTGTGGATCTGATTTTTTAAATGAATTATTAGCACAATTAAATTTTTATCCTTTTTACTGCATTAGAAGACTTCTTAAATTATAAGGTCCAAAGTGGTAGATATTGAAGCTGACTTCAAAAAAAAAAATATTTTTTTTTTGAATGAGATTTTTTCTATAGTGTGCATATGCTTGCCAGAGAGAGAGAGAGAGCTGAAAGCAAGAAATCACCTCCCATGGTATGGCCACTCCACAATTCCTTCTCCATTTTCCTCTTGAGATTTCTGGCATGCAGGCACATGCCTGGCTTGAGTTTCTAGCCGCTGAGTCTGAGACTCAAACTGCAGTCAAGTATGTGACAGTCTAGCAGTGTAAACATTATGCCATCTACTGGTTCCCAAATTGTAATAGTTTTAAG